ACTCCCCAAACTGCTCTTTGACAGCCTTTGCAGAGACCAGAGTGCCTGCATCTCAGATAAGCAACGTAGATTCTATTAATATTCATCTAAATGTACTGAAGATCATACAAAAGTGATCGCAGAAGTTAGCTTCAGCATGGTAAAGCCTTGCCTGTCTAGAAACATGTGCTGTGTTTCATCTGTAGCTTTTGCTGTCGTTGTGTAAATGAACAGGAATGTAAGGGAGCATGTGAAATTGCTACCCTTTAATATTGGGAAACCTGTTGCTATCTAAGACTGATTGAGAATTTAGCAGGGCATGTGAAAGCGTCCCAGATTGTTGCATCTGGTCAGTGAAATGAATCTGATTTGAATCTGGGCCAGCCTCAGGAAGAAAATTTTCTAAACTCGAGATCTTGTAGATTAAGCATGTAGTGTAGCGACGGGACCAGGAAAAGAAGCACAGTCCAGGAATAACATCTGGAAATAATGTGTTTGTAAAGAATAATGCTTTAATAGCACAAATAGCAGGACAGTAATTGAGTTGATTAGGCTTTTGTCTGTGCTGGGCTGGTATTATTGAACTGAAGCATTTGGGACATTTAAAAGCTCGGTTCACAGGCTCGCTTGCTTATGGCTGTCGGTGAACAGCGGGCAGTGATACTTATTCATTTTGTTCTGGAGTTCCAGAAATAAGTTACGAAGCAAAGAGCACAGGCGCTTACAGACCATCAGGTTGAATTAAGACTTCAGCTGGCAAAGCAGTGAACTTTGTAATAACTCAGCTTTTTTTTTTTTTTTTTAATAGGAATAGCAAATAAGTTACACTGCTGAAATAATCTCCAATAGAACATGCATACATTTATTATCTGATAAATAATTGTATGGACACTAGTAAGAGCCAGTTACTGAAAAACTGGTTATTGAAAGCATTTTGACAAGCAAGAAGGCTGAACCTAGGGTGGAGTGAAGTATGGTAGAGTTGGGATGACTTCCTGGGGGCTTTCCACCCAGGATTGATTGTGATCTCTTCAGAAGTATCCGGGTATCTTGCTGATGTACGTAATGTGATGCTTGGCCAAAAGCATAACGGGAAATGCATTACCCTCATCAGACAATGGGTGATTATTTCTGCAAGGTCAAACTTCTTGAATATATGACAGGCCATATATTGACAAGCAGGGTGCAGATATAATTATATGTAAAGAATTGTGTCTTAGGAGCTAAGTGTTGGGTAACATTGAGCAGTAACACCTGGGGCTTGTTACTTGGAAGAGCTTTTAGGTGAGTAGTCAAGCAGATGCTAGCTGTACAAGCAAGTCTCTTACATGAAATGTTTCCTCAGAAACTTTACAGGAAGGGAGGCTGACCTTACTTTGAATTTAATAAAAGCTTTGTTCCAATATCCTGCTGATGTATTAGCATTTTGTCATCTGTATATCTCGGACAACACCGAAGAGTGTTGAGTGCTGATATGTTCTTGCACACCCAAATGGAACAAATACTGATTTGTCAGAGTTTCATTGTACGTCTTGAATCTATAAATCTGTATCAGGTGAAAGTGTTTATTATTGTGGTTGAAGAGGTTGTTCTGATGATCACCATGTCCAAAATATGTTTGTTTTCATATTACTTGGGAAATGGGACTGTCTATGATAAAGTGTTAGGTGAGGCCCAGTTAGGTTGAGTGTCAAGTGCTGGTTGACAAATGAAATGAAGGTAGTACATGTGAGGGGTTTTTAAATAACTTCTCTTAGTATTAGTCACATAACATTGTGAGTGTAGGGCAGATAGTAGTGACTGTCTGCTCTTGTTTAATACTTGTAAAACCAAACGGCCATGCAGTGAGGTAGGAAATCCTACACATTGAAAAGAGTTTGCTTTGCTGAAGATTGGGTAAATTTTTTTTTTTTCTTTGGCTAAATAATACTAAGCTGGATTTGCTCTGTCCAAGCAAATGTCTTTTTAGGTAATGGAAAGTTTAACAAAGTCAGTTGACTTACTTTATCAGAGCCGACATCTGCTTCAACAAAACCTAAGACCCATCTTACAGATTTGGTTAGTTTGTTTGAAGTGGCCCCAAATGTTGCATGGCATTCAACAAAGGTAAAGTTACACTTTCTTTAGTATCTGGGCCACTATGACTAAGAGCCATTGTGTACTTGCTGGGTGAGAAGCTGTCTTTGCTATTTATATCTATGAAGCTGTATTTTGAAAGTAACCTTTTAAAAGACAAGTGGTGTTTCTGAGCCTCCAGCTTGTGTCGTCCTCCTCTTTGAAGGGATCAGGTGCAGCATAAAGCTACACCACAGGCTAGGGTCTGCATCTGTATCGTGGCTTCACGTATACACATATCTTTACCTCAATTCCTGCAAATTGCTTCTGGATGAACATCAACCCCATATTTTCAGTGATTAACTAAATTAATTGAATATAGTATATTTTTGGCAATGGTCTTGTGTCTAATGCAGAATGAAAAGGGAGATACTAGCTAAATGTGAGTGAACATTTAGAAATCATCAAGAAAATGACTACTAGTAGGTGAACCAAACTATCGGTCGCAGCTGAACTTCTGTGTTTGCAGATGGTGAGAAGTGGGCATGAAATGCTTTCTCTTCCTCCTGAGCGACAGATGGAACCAAAGAGTGAACTTTTATGAAAATTGAGTCTTAAGGGAAAAAAATTCTGACACTTCTAGTTGGGAAGGCATTTCCAAATGTAATAGGCAATGCTTGTTTGTCTTTAATAACGGACTGGTTCATGAACAACGACAACAGAAAACATTGATGATCCTTTGTCTGCCCTTTGATTTACCTGCTATTTCCCTTCTTCCTGTTCTATGGAGAAGTGAGTTGCTCATGAAATAACTCCTGAGTTTGTCATTTACATTAATCTTAAAGTAGCTTGGCACTTGCTTTTTTTTTTTTATTTTCAGGTGCTGGGCACCTGTGGTGGTTCAGAAGCTGCTTCATGAGGAGTCAGGTACTTTGCACAGTGGAAGCTGTGACCTCTTTGGCAGTCCCAGTTTAAATTATTCCTGCTTCTGAGCAGTAAAACTGCAGACATGCTGTAGTTGCTCTTCAGAGCTTTATAAAGCAGCATCCATGTCAAACTAAGGCTGGTCAGTTTTTGGTTGCTGCTCAGCAAATTTGGCCCTTTACTCACTTCCAAATGTTGTGTGCAGTCCTAGCAAAGCAGAAGGCAGCAGAATTTTTGGACAGTCCAAAAACCAAAGCCAGGACTAACACATTATAAACCACCCTCCCTAACCGCAGCAGCCTGGAGACTGTTGGAAGAACCATCAAGGTGCTAACACCAGAACAAAATCTAGGAGACTGAGGGGAGGAAAGAGGAATCCAATGTGAATTGGTGTTTTTTCTAGCTAGGACATGACTGCTAGAGTGCACGGAACAAAGGGTTGGAACTGCAGTAGTGGCTGAAGCAGCCCTAGTTTGTTCTACAGGATAACTGAGATAGGTCCGACAGTCGTTACCCACACAGAGTATTCTCATATGGTATCAGCTACTAGAAGTTTCTTAATCACCAAAAGGTAAAAGCTAGTTTGGGTCTTGAAATGGGAGTATCCAACACAGTGTACAGTAACATGAAATATCTTGAATGAAGTATGCAGGTACGCCATGCACATGTGTTTGGGACATCACAGCTGTACTTTAAGGTAGTTTAGCTTCTGACCTTTTAATGGGTGATGATAGTGTCATACATCAGGCTGCATTTTTTTAAGATTGGGTGGCTGCATTGTCTAAAAATACATTAATCCTAGGAAGAGAAGGTTATCTAGGGAGAGTCATATACCTTTTCCACCGCACTCTGTGAAGTTTCTTTCCAAAGGTATGCTTCTGCCAGTGAAAATAGAAGTAGCAAGATGTTTGCACTGTATTTAACGCTGCTCATCAAACTGAAATATGACACTGTTAAAAATAGGGTTTATCACTAGGGTAAGTGAAATATTTTTTTTGTTTCACTTATAAATGGAGATAAAATAGTATATACTCAATAAGGTGAGAAAGCATGGAAGCTACCTACAATACACTAGGAATTTATTGGACAAAGCTAGTTAAAATCTGAAGTGCGGTTTTGCCAACCTAATGCTTTTATTTTCTTGCTTTTGTCTTACTTGGTCCCTTTTTTGGCTTGATGTTTTGTCCCTGTGGGTTAGTTCAATTGTCTGTCCCTTGCATCTCTATTACAAAACAGTCTCCTAAGTGGGCAGAATTAACTCTAGACTAAACAAACTAACCTTGAACTGAAATGAGTTAGAGCCTTGGAGAAGCGCTGCTCCTTGCAGCAGTTGGAGGAAGTCTTCATTTGTTCTGGTGAGGGGCAGTTTCTCCACTGGTTAGTTTGGCCTCTGGAAACTGAAGCCAACCACAGCATTCCCTCAGCTACTGGATGCTGGAAGGAAACCTAGTCTGTTTTAGTAAGTAGATGAATATTTGTGATTGGAAATGTGCATCTTCATCGTTTCCTTCCTCAGCCTCTCTTTATCTAGTAATTAGAGGAGTTGAGCTCTGTTGCTCCCCATAAACAAGCAAGTGAACTGATGGGATTTTCAGCTACAGCTTTCTGTATGGCAGCAGCCAGAAGTGATGACCCTGGTCCTTAGTGCTGTCTGTGGAAAAGTTCTCATCTCTGCAGCAGTGCTGCTGTGCAGTCCAGAGCTCTGGCCCCACCTGGAAACCTCCTTTGGGGAGCGAAGGTGTTTTAGGGAAACCTTGTTACACTTAATATATGTTGAAAGCTCTCTGACCTTTGCAAATAAAATTCTCAGGCCTGCATTAGAGATGGAGACAAGTCTTTCATGCTGCATACTTGTCTGAATCAACATTGTTTGATAAGATTGAAAGCCAGCTCAGCAAAAAATGCAGGAGTGAGCAATGAATGCAGTGCCTGGAACAGTCGCTCTTCCGGAGCGGTGTCTTGCAGCTCCTGTTGGCATGGCTGAAACCTGCTGAAGCATTAAAGGCAACGTTTGTGAGCACAACTCTCTCAGCTGTAACCTAGATGAAACTACCATCACCCTGGTATTATTTTTGCAACTTATAATGCCTCTTGCTTATTTTAACAGTGTGTGGTAGGGGCTGGGAGCTGTTTCTATTACAGACAGGTTTAGAGACTCAGAATTCAGATTAGGTACTATGGGGCTTGTGAGACATCTTAAGTGCTGTGTGTTGTAATATACTGAGATAATAACTGACTAATACTAAAATATAAGACTTTTGAGTTGGTATGCTAGGTCTCAATTGAGGATTATTATATACCATAAGTCAAAAAGGCCTGTCACACTGTGCATATTAGAACAGTCTTTTTAAGGAGGTTTGGAAAGGGGAGTATTATGTAAGTGGTTGTATAAATTGAGATTTTTTTTTTTTTTAAATTTCTACCTTTTGAATACAAATGAGGACAGAGGGAGCATTAAGTACTCTGAAATGTCTGCTCTGCTTTTTTTAAAAATGGTATTTGTGCACAGGGAAAAATGAACGAAAACCCCTGACCCTGTCAGGGGAATAGCAGCCCCCACCTTCCAGTTGCAAGCTCTCTAAATGAGTGAACTGTTTGACCTAGTGATAATGGTATGGCCCCAGTGTGGTGAAGGTGCCCAGTATAAATCCTGGGATCTGAGTCTGCAGTTTATTTTCAGCTGTCCTTCTGAAGGGAAGTGCAACAGCTGTCCCTGCAATCTCCTTTATTGGGCTGCAGCAAACTGATCTGCATGGGCATGAAAGGTGCAGCTCACAGGAGGTGGTGTTCAGTATACCTTAGCAGGAAAATTTCAGTTTATAAGAATTTTGAGGGAACACTTTGGGGGGGATTTAGGTGCTTATTTTTATGGGGCTCACTTCAGCAGGAATGGATTTAAGAACAACTTTGTGTTGAGTGTAATCCATACAGGCCTGTGCAGAGAAACATTTCAAGCTGCTGTCAACCTGAAAATGGAGGGTGATGTGATCTGCCTGCTCTGGTGGAGCTTTTCAAAGCATGACTGTGTGGTGGAGCTCCAACCTGCACAGCTTTATAGGTGCCAAATTTTAGTTCCTTCACTCCAGAGATGCATCTCTTTCTGTGGTGGAACAGGACTGTTCTTAAATACTTAATTCTTAAAACAAGTTTTCCAGTGGAAATTTGCTTTTCTAGATTCCCAGGCTAGTGAGAATGATATCCTGTACTGCTGACAGCTGAATCCTGAGAGTCAGGCCTCTTTTTTTTCCTCATCAAGCTGGTGACAATCATGAACATCAAAATTCTTGATTTAGACGCCTACGCAGTTTCTCATGACAGCGTTCATTCGTAATAATTACAATGTACAGTACTTACAAATGACTAGTATTTTAGAAAATCAATCTGTGTGCACTCTTGTTAAATATTTTCATGTTAAATTTTTGAAAGATCCATCTCCTTCCAGCTTTAAGCGCTCAGCTTAAATATAGTCTTTGTTCATCTGAAAATAACTGAAAATCCACTCTTTAAGAGTAAATTATGTGAATTTTTTTAATGCTGCTTTTTTCTTAATAGCTTGTTTCCTGTAGCTGAAAAAAAAATAAATAGAAGAGTCTTAACTTCTAAGTCTCACTAGCAATGTTTCCATAATACAATAAGCTGACCTTGCGGAGGGACGCAAGCGCTTTCAGCATTGCTTTTCCAGCATTCAGCCTTGCTCGTAAATCTTCGTGAAATGTACAGAATGCAGAACGACCACCTGCCATTAGCCTTTTATGTGTCACTGCCTTTTCAGGGTAAAACTAAACCTGGCCCCTCTCTGATACTCTGAGCCAGAGCATTGATTTGCCACAGTGATTGCTCACCATCCATTTCTGGAATCTGTCTGAAGCCACCTCCTATTTATAATTTGTCATTCCTCACTGTCTTAGACACTTAATGTGGCTTTGTTACAAAGCTTATGCTTTTTTACATCTGAAATCATGTGATACCTAACAACTTGTAATAGTAGGTCTTGTCTAAGTCCAACTGCTGGTTTAGCAAGAGGTGACTCTAATAATGGTTTAGTGAACTGATGAAACTTTGTGTGTGGGCTCTGCTGGCCTAACCTGGCTTAGGTCTGTTTAGTTTGGACCTGTAAATATAATATCCTAACCCAAACGGACGTACACCAGCTTGAAGCTGGTAGGGCCCGCACACAGAGCTGCACTAAATGAACCATACTGGGTTTTGTGCTTGAATTGATGCATCCTGGAGTACTGCTGCAGTGGGTTTGTCCTGAAGTTAAGTGTGAAGCAGGGTTTCTCTTCCTGTTCCAGGACTTGAATTCATATGAAAAGCCAGCCTTACCCAAACCAATTACTAATTATGGATTGGTCTTGAGTGACAACTTGATACTTCGTGTGAGACATGTTAATAGGGATTTCTTCTTTGGAAGATTGCTGGGGCAGGTGAACTCTGACCCAGCAGGCTGTGAGTAATGGGGCTTGCTTTAGTTGTTTTGGTATAGCCAGGGCACTGGTCTGAGTTACATCATCAACAGAGACCCTGCCTCTGCCAACAGAAATCATCAGAATATTTACCTTAAACACTGTTGTGGTTTTGGAGAGTGAAATGTTTTATATTTTTATCTAACAAGCCATTTTTCTACCACATTTGCTCTCGTCTCTGTAAGTGAGATGACGTGCTCTCCAGTGCAGACAAGTTTGGTGTTTTTGTGGATAACAACCACATCTGAGCTAACTGGTTGCATTAGCACAGCCTACACCTGTCCAGGAAGAACTGCCTATCCTGAGCCTGGGTAGGAGTTTAACTGCATCTGCGACAGTCATACAAACACTACAAACTTGCCAAGTGTCTGATTTAATTTTTTTGAAGTTATGTGATCATGCCAGCAGAAGTTCCTGTGCTAGCAAGCCACGTGCCCTTGCTTGAGTCTGTTAATCAACATCACAAGTGATGTTCATACTGTTGGTATCATCTACATGTTGCATTAATATAACCCTTTCAGTTACCGAAAATTATTACACTGGTAAAGATGCTTTCAAAGCAAAATGTACATGCAAAATGCCACATCCTAGGCTATTACCACAAGGTCTTCCTTTTTTGATACGAGGTGGTTTTTAAGCAACCTGCAGCAAGTATTTCAAGCAGAATTATGAATACTGAGCTGAAATAGTGCTCTCTAGAGAAGGCTAGAAAGTGCTGCTGACTTACTTCTGAAGTAGGTAGCATATAGGTTAAACCTTCAAAGCTGGTTTCATCACTTGGTGTTGGCTTTAAGTTCTTGTCTTGCTTCATTCTGCTTCACTATGTTTTTAGGAAGCCGACTGAACCATGCCAGGTTCCAGCCAGCTCAATTTACTGTGTGCTGGGATTCCTTTCAGTCTTATTAGCTTTTAGGAGAATCTGCATACCATGGACAAGCTTTAAAAGGTAGGAATTGTGTTCAAAATTACTGTTTCAAAGACTTTTGAGAAGCAGAAAGTCAATGTTGTGTGTCAGTCTTTTCCAGACTGTTACATTGATAGTCCATAAAAGTAGTTATCTTGACTGCCTCTCACCTGTCTGCTCTGTGTCCCCGAGAACCTGGTAGGTCTTTTTCTGCAGTGTTGTTTTACAGCCAGTTGCCCCAGTCTGTGTTGTTGCAAGGAGTTATTCAGTCCTAGGGCCAGGGCCTTCCTTGTGCCTTGGTTGACCTTCACAAGCTCCCTGTCAGGCCACTTCTCCAGCCTGTAGGGTCCCTCTAAGAAGGATCTCCTGTCCCAGCCACACCAACCAGTTTGATACCATCTGCAAAGTTGTTGAGAGTGCTCTCTGTCCCGTAACTGGTGTTAATCAGGTTTGTTAACAAAGACATGGTATTATATTGGCCCCAGTATCAACTCTGAGGGATGGCACTGGTAATCAGCTGCCAGCTGGACTTTGTACAGCTGATCACCTTTTGAGCCAGACCTTCTAGACAGTTTTCCATCACCTTATTGTCTGCTTCTGTAGTCCAGCTCTCACCAATCTGCCTGTTAAGAATACTGTCAGAGATGGTGTCAAAGGTGTACCACGCTCACCCTCCCATCATCCACCCAGCCTGCTTCTCATTGTAGAGGGCAATCAAGTTAGGCAGGATTTGTCACTGGTAAATCCATGCTGGCTGTTCCCAGTCACCACCACCTCCTGCACGTGGCTGGAAATAGCTATTGGGAAGATTTACTAGGACTAAATTGGGACTGACAGGCCCGTAGTTCCCTGGATCCTTCTTACATGATGGGTGGTGTTTGCATATCATCAGGATCCTCCCTTTGTCACCATGACCTTTGAAAGATGGCAGTGACTTTGCAGTGACATCAGCCAGCTTCGTCCTCAGCTGAGTCTGCATCCTGCCTGGCCCCTAAAGTCATCCATGGACATTTCTTCCTCTTTATTCCTGGGCTGGGGCTCTGGTGCTGTGCAGTGTAGCTAACAGGACCAGTCTGCTTTTCCTGGGAACTGTCCTTAGTCCGTTCCTTCTATCATGTGTGCCTGTCTTGTCGTACCAGCCTCCTCAGCTTCTGTAGTTGTGGGCCTGCGTGAAACTCCAGTCTCACTTGCCTGTAGCTCTTTTCAGTGACTGTCAGACACTCCTGTGTACAGCAAACTAAACGTTTCTAGGGGGCTTTCCTCGGTGTTTTCCTGATTTCCTTATTTCCCTGGGTTTTTTTGTTGTTGTTTTTTTTTTTTTTCTTCTAAAAAATTTAAGTTTTAAGGTGAGGTTCCTGCCGGGAGGGAAATAGGAGGGGTTCTTTCTAGTTGACTTGTCTCTTAACTCCTTCAGAGTTCAGTCTTGCCGGAACATAGCTAGTGAGCAATTGGTGTTGTCTCATACCTGTGATGCCTTCCCTACATTTTGGTGCAAACTTGCACGATGACTTAACCAATGATTCAAAACGGCTTATCTGTCAGCACCAGTTCAGTTTTAAGGCATGTCATGACCTCTTTTCTTCAGGAGTAGTCACGCAATAAGAAGTACTGCCATGTATATCTCCTAAAGGAGATGATAACTGGGGATTTCTGTTTCTTGCTACCACTTTGGTAAATGTTTCTTAACCATCTT